AGGGCACATCGATCAACCGGATCGAAGGCACTTTTGATGTCGAGGAACACGACTACGGTGGGCCGCCAATATGTGTGGCGGTTCTCCAACAACTGACGCAAAGTGAAGATGTGGTCAATGCAGCCACGACCACGACGAAACCCGGCTTGCTCCTCACGAATCTGGCTTTCACGAGCGCCAGTCAGTCTGTGAAGAATTATGGAGGCGAGTAATTTGGAGGCGATGGAGATCAGACTGATTCCTCTATGGTTGCCGCATTCCGAGCGCGAGCCGCCTTTGAAGATGGGAACAATAACGGAGCGGCTCCAGTCGGTTGAGACAGTCTCCTGCTCCCACAGTTTCACTAGTAATTCATGCAAAGCATCAACAAGAGCAGAGCCTCCGAATTTGAAGAGGGCTGGAGGAAGATCATCTGGTCCCGCGGCTTTGTTCAACTTCAACAGTCGGATCTCACGTTCGACTTCTGAGCGAGAGGGTGGATCCAAAGGGACAGCCCACGGAGCAGGGCGATCATTGACCGGCGAACCGGACAATTCTAGCCGATTAAATTGCTTTTCAAAATGCTCAGCCCAAGGCTCCAAACGTTTTGACAAATTGTGGATAGGCTGTCCACTCTCATCACAAATTGTTTCACTAACACCAGGTCTCCTGCTGCCCGTTTCCCGTATCAGCCGGAATAACTTACGATGGTTGCCAAGGGCAGCGGCCACTTCCATCTCTGACGCACGATGAGACCACCAAGATTCGCGGTCTCTCTTCAGGCTAGCACGGAGTTTCGCCCGGAGCTCTTTGCGAGTTTCATTGTGTTCGCTTCCAGCCGGGATATGCCGGCGAGCGTCGATAAGTTCCAGAGACTGAGAAGAGACCCAATGTCCATGTTGGTGATTAGACATACCACATGAGGATTTGCCCGCTGCTAGTAAGGTCTGGCGAACATGTGACCAGTGACCATCAATTGTCTCCAGTGAGCGAGTACTCAACTCGCATGTCAGCGTACTTTGATAAGCATTCAGAACAGCTGGCTTTGTCAGTTGGCTGGTGTCAATGCGCTCACAGCGTCGTCGTGGGCGTCCTCCAAAGCGCATCCGCATGTCAGCACATACAAGTGCATGATCAGTGTCCACACATGTGCTCCAAATCGAGCGACAATTCTGGATGCAGCCTCTCCAGCGGTAACTAATAGCAATGTGATCGATCTGCGTCCAAGGCTGGTTCGAGGCTGGTGGGCGCCAAGTCACCCTCCGGCGGGTGCTGTGTCGGAAATTAGTGCTCGCAAGAAATAAACGAGCATCTTCACACAAATGAAGTAACCGCTCACCGTTATCATTACTGGAGCCTACACCGTGTTGACCGCCCAGATGCATTTCATCAGTGGACAACTTTCCAACTTGTGCGTTCATATCCCCCGCCAGAACAACTGTGTCCGTGCTTCTTCTGTGGCGAAGGAGCTGAGTCAGTTGGCGGTAGAAGTCGTTCTTTACGGAATCATCGCTACAGTTTGTGGGCGCGTAGGCAGCGATGATGAATAGACATCTATTAGTCCCGCGCGACTTCGAAGCTTTAAACGAGCCAGCCAATCGGACCGCACACATCCGGCTACTGATTGGAATCCAATCAACCAGAGCAGCTTCAGCCCGGGGACTCAGAGCACTGCCAACACCAGCTTGGCCGGTGCTCGAAGCTGCATCGTCACCGGATAGGCGCAATGAGAAAATACTGTTTGCGTCACCTGAAGGGGATCGCAGAGTGAGCACAGAGCTCGAGTCTTGCAGGCGGGTCTCTGATAAGCAGCAGATATCGATCGAGAGGGTCTCCAATGTTCGGGCAAGTGCTGCCTGTTGACCGATCTGTAGTAGTGTGCGTACATTAAGGCATGCCAATCTGAAGGAAAATCGAGGGCTCCAAATGGAAGCCGATGAACTGGAATGGACCGCTTGGTTGGACATGGGCTTGTCGACAGGAGAGGAGTGACGCTTCGCGTTCACATGTGAGTTGAAACTAGAAGATAAATGCCTAGCAAAGCATGTTGGGGGAGGGCCAAGAATCGGGGGGTTGAAAACTGGGGGGATATAAGTGAAGTTGGAAGGGGACGGTAAGAGTGAAAAAGCGTAAGATGGGGAATAAGAAGACGGGAAGGCTTGAGCAGTAGCATCCAAACCCCCTATCCACCCTGCTCGATGCAGCAGATAGGGCACCGTTGATTATCCTCTGCGGTGGCCAGAGCATCAGCAGTTTGTTTGAAGTGTGATTAATTGTATTGCGTGGGCAGGATACTGTCAGGTTGCCCAGGCCTTGACAGGAGAACGATTAGGGTTCTCAACCAAAGCCTTTGGTTCAAAAACCTGACCGCAAGGCAACGGGTTTGGCGTTGGACTACAAGGAGTCCGTTTTAAGGAATAAGGTGCCACCTTCATTCCAACCCCCAACCTGGAGGACCAGGAGGCTGAGTTTGTCTGACCTCTAACCATTGAGCAATCTGGTATGAGTGACTCTGAAGGTGCAAAAGCACCACCCAGCATAGCTCAATGGATCGCTGAGGCACACAAACCATCGCACCACGGTAAGGTCCAGCCTCATTGCGATGGTCATCAGCATCTGGTGGGTGATTATATAGTCTTCGCGTAGACCATGATGCTGACCGCTGTAAAGTCTTAGGGTTCTCACCTTACGTTGATAGGGAAGTTAGAGCAACCCACTGAGGTACTTGATGGATTTTTGTCTTTAATTCTAAAGCGTTGCAAAATCTTCCGTGTGCGAAGACTGGCAGAACTGGGTTGCGTATACCACATGAGGCTGCACGTATGTACTGGGCAGCTTCGGGCAGACAGGTAGATAAGTCCGCCAGAATATAATCCGCATATTACTAACTTGCTGGTTCTTTGTCTTTGACACTTCCCAAGATTGCAATAGGCAGTCCAAATTAACCTGAGTTAGTACCCCATTTAGTGGTCCTATGTTAGTGCTTGCCGGACGTGATCCCTAAGCTTGTATATGATGTACGACTGATGACGAATGTGGACAAGTTTACACTTGGATGCATTATAAAGAAAATAAAGCCATCAGCAATACGACGGTACGCAGTACCTACGCTTTGCTGTCGTGCAGCCAACACGGGTTACACCTGGGCTACGAATACCGCGAGTGTCGCCTTGCCCCTACGCAGGCCAGAACTCGCACCGTCAGATTACAAGTCAAGCTAGTTACCTTTAGACTTCGAGCCGAATGAATCAACCTGGAGCAGATTGTGGAATGACTATTCATGCGCCCTGTTCATGTCTCATGGATGTGTATCATAATCTCCTCGGTCGGCCATCGCCCACCACCTTTAAGCTTTATCAGTGAAAGGCGAGAAATCCTAGGTGATCAGACGCCTAAGCTCGTAACTAAAAACGAACCTTAACACCGAACCTTGTGGAAATCTATGTTTAGTATGAGTACAGTAGATGTTTTGGTTGTGAAACATGAACATCCCAAGTATCGGATGTTGAGTGGAACCTACAACTCATCGTGCTACCTTATCCTCCTAAATTTCCACCCACATTCTGCTCCTTGCATATTTTTGGCCCATTGCAAAATACGTCTATGAAGCATTAAGAACCAGTCTATTGAACTAGCTAACGAACTCTATCCAGGCAAGTTTTGAAATTGTACTGGAAGATATGGCCTGTTTATCGCATTTCCAAGGTAACCTAAGTGGCTGTGGTGCGTAGTCGTGAGCTCTTCGTCAGTATTTTCAGCTGAATATTCTAAAAGTGAAGCGTTTAACCGCATGAACACTACCGCTTAACGGACAATATCCAAATAATAGATTGATCATACGCCTCCTGTTGGTGAACACCAGGTCCGGCAGAGATGGTCTGACACTTGATATGAAGGTATTACTAGAAATAGTGGGATCGTAAAAAGGAACCTTGGAAACGGGCTCTCGCAGTTAAGCGTCGAATTGTCCCTCAATTTTGTGTGGGTTACCATAAATGTACTTTGGACAGACGCATTAGAAAAACCATGGAATATTTGCTAGGTAACGGTCTATTTCTGGTATGAAGTATGGTGCACCAGGCCATAAAGAAGCTTTCTCAGTTTCACAGAAGATCAGATACCGGCGTGCCTGCCTCCTCCATGGTCCTTCTTGGGTACCGGTAATACACAATTTCCCCTACTTCATTGGTTTTTCGATCAGTCTGGGTGCTAGAATTCGGTCGTCTGTCATTTCAACAGGCAACCATTTTTCAGCCTTGCTGATAACCTTATATGACTCTGCGTTTTGTGACCCTTCATTTTGGCTATTTGAAAAGGTGTCTAAATTTCAGAGGGAGAGTAAATGCAGCTTAGATATTTTTTATCTGCATCCTCAAATCTTTTCTTTGCAACCGTTTCCTTTTTTCGTTTACAACTATTTGCTTTTGGTTTATCGTTCGACAAAGTGTCATAATTTTACGGAACTAGACAAAATCCCTCAGCAAATTCATTTTAAATTTGACTGATACACTTGCTTCTGTTTGTATTACATTTCACGTTCAAGCATTTGCTAGGTTACGTTGACCAAACGTGGTAAATTATAAAGTGGCCTGTAGTTGTCCAGTTTGCAGAGGATCACTGTCTTTTTCATAGGCCTAACCAAGCATCATTATTTCAATCTGTAATGAGCCGTCAGACAGTGACCAAAGTGCGGGGTCTCACAAGATAGGCGAGATAGTAGTTAATAGTGATTTGGGAATTATTTTGAAAAGCTCGTTAAGCTCAAGTGGTTTGGTGTTGTCAAGTTTGAATACAAGCTTACGCAACTTTGCAATACAGTAATCAGAGCCGGCAAGCATTATAATACTGAGGTGTCCATTTCCATACCAAACTTATGCGTACAAGAATGCGTGTGTTTCTCCGAGACATGCATGCGCGCAGGTGTTCTGCACGTATATTAGGCAATTTAAATTTGATGCTGTTTGCCACAAAAATTAACCTGGTAAACGTCACACAAAGCCTCGTTTTTCTACATGTTGCAGGTGTACCTGACCCTCATTGCCGTATCGGTATTTCTGGTGCCCGCATTTATCATCACGGTATGTCACGTCATCATGGTTTCAACAATCTGGAGGGCTTCAAGACTGCAGAGTGCCGCTCCAGCTGGGAATACGCAGCGGCTGTTTAGAAAAAGAGTTCAGCGACGTATTACCACAACGTGTAAAGACAACGAAGACGGATCAGCTTTTCGTCTAGACATTACACAGAATGACGAACACCAAAAGTCCTCAATAGAGTGCTGCTTGCGGAAAGCACGAAAACAGCCTGCGAAAAGAACTGGCTGCATTCCTCGAGCAAAGGTTAAAACAGTAAAAATGACGTGCCTCATTGTTTCGGGTAAGTGAATGACAGGCGTTAAGCCACGGTAACGGATTATGAGGTATATGTAGGTCTGTCTATCATTTGTAGTCCGAAGGGGGAACCAAGTCTATTCGAGACGAATATCAGCACATCTATATCGCGTTAGACGCAACCGGACAGCTTGTAGTAAATAGCTGTAACCAATCAGCCCATCATCTGACCAAGTGCAAAACCGACTAATCAAACTGATCACATGAAGTACAACAGGTATTCCGGTGAATTAAGGTACATGGCATTGATGGACGGGATTCGATTCCTCTCGTTTGGCTGTTGACACGATAGCTGCAATACTTGAGCGAGCTAATTTTGTATGCATAAATCCAGTAATGCCAATCTGATGCTTTCCACCTTGGTAGGAGTAAGCAGCCGTGCTACTAGCAAATGCTTTAGTTGCCACGTTAATTTACACAAGATTTCAGTAGCATTCCTTCTGTTAATTTAACTTAATCTACTGACCACTTGGTTAGTTTTCGCAAAGGAACTATTTCTACATTACTGGGTGATGAATAGTTTAATAGACGCTTCGTGATTAGTATACGCTTTGGGCACCCAGTTACCGATGTTTGCACGCTACTCTGTTTCGTGAATGTACCGATCACATTATCGGTGCATTTACTTGTGGATACGCTAATTCAACTCGGCTTTACCTTTGCTTTTATCTGTTCTACAACTACAGAGCTGAGTTGCACGCATCATCATTGCATTCTTTAATGTAAATTCAACAGGATTTTGCTAGAACTCAAGCGCATCTATCTTACCTTACAAGTGCATACCATATATTTTACTCTCATTTTTGAGGTTGTTATTAGCACCATTTATATATTTTTATCTTTCAAGACTCCGACACTGTTTAAAGGGGGCAGCTCATTTATGATCCACTATTCTAATACTCGTCAAACTAATGTACATTCAACCACGACCTAAACTCTCGTCAGCTTTCCTCCAAGGCCATATCGGGTTGCGGCAGTCATTCGGCCACCGCTTAGGCCAGAAAGGTCGTGTGTTGACCTAGATCATGTTATCTTCCCACATCTGACCCAACTCTCAGGGTTCTGTTAACTGATATTATGTGCTTGTTTCGACACGAATGGGTGCCCCAAACGCTTATTTGTATTCTAACAGAAAGGGAAATTCGCAAACGTGAATGACGATAGGTATCAGCTTGGTATGCAGCACTGCCCAAAGAAAAACAAGTATACGCGGTCAACAAAGACACAGATATAATCCCTTGCGATTTAAAATCGTGCTTCAGCATTATTTAAATAGGAATAACGTGATGTAACTGCAGTAAGAAACTGTATCCAACATGTGCCCGTTTACCGTCAGCAGAGGTGAAATTATTGTACAATACACCGGACTGTATAGTGTTCAGTTTAAATTGTACGATCATCCCAAATTTATGGTGCATCACATGCTTTCGCAGAAATTCAACCAACTGACGACAAGTGTGGTGCAAGCGACGGCTAGTAGGACCGCTCCGTCTAAAGCAGCTACAGCGGAATTCTGATGTTGCAGCCAAACTTTAAAGTGCAAGTTGAGACATAGTGGCTAAACCCAGCGTGTTTTCAATGGCGTAGCGGCCGATACCCCAACTATGAGAAATCGCAACTAGGTGAAACACCGGGCTCTGCCGACAGCGATTAGCCCAAACTTGGGTGTATCTTTGGCACATGTTGGACCATCTCATCCGGGTAGATCCGCCACTGTCTATACCCAAACAACGTACACGTTCAATGTAATCACATGTATGTCTAAAGAAAAGTTAATTGTTACATCCACAGCTGCGACAATGGACTTTAGAAATAAAACGATTAGTACCACGTCACCGGGAATTTAGTTTATTATGTCGCCGGAGAGAAAAAGCATACACTATTGAAAATTGTGACCATTAGAAGGAAGTAAACTTAACTGAAGAGAGTATGCCCGTATGCAACCTAGTCGAACGCCAATATGGACAAATTAGTGAAAAACATAAGACAATGGCACCCAGATGACGCGAAATTGGAACCCAGGCTATTCAGGCCAGTTTAGTTTGAATTGCCTGCTACCCAGGTATAGTTCGATCTTTGGAACCAAGGCCTTTTTAGATGGAATTTTAGTCGAACACAAAAGTTGAGATTGTCCTTTTGTTACTTCACAACATTCGTGAAATCTCTTAGAGTGACGGTCGACAACTGTAGCAAGACCCAAGAGAATACTGTAAGCAAAACAACGAAAGCCAACTCTTTTCCGTAGTGTTACCGAAATTCAATCTTCCGAGGAATCGCCAACCCAACCTCATGACTTGGAAAAGCAGCATTATACCTTAGAAGCACTCTTTCGCAAGGAGATGATCGCCAATTCAATGTCAAGTCTACTCATAATGCCTAAATGTAAGGGATGTAGTCTAAAAGTAGTAAAAGTGCTGCTCCACCCAAAAGTTGTTCGGAGGTTGGCATAAGCTACACACGAGACAACAATCCGAAATAAGCTGAATGCGGTCGAAGCAGTGCTACAGAGAGGCTACATAATCACAAAGGCAATGCGATTTTGTTCTGTGTCCAGCTGTTCTCATTTCTGGACCGGCACCCAATGCAACGCTAGGTCGTCCGCAGTACAAACGGGTGGTCCGACACAATTCGCTGCTGCAAGGTTACGTACTGAGTGCTCTGTGCAGAAGCACATCTCTAAGGAGCCAACAGTTTAGGCTGGCTACACTACAGCTGGGTGGAATTTGAAGAAAATTAAGTATCCTTTTGTTGTCAAACCTTGAACTTCGTCCAGCGAAAGTAATTGCTACGCCCACACCACCACCGTTCAAAAGACGACTTGAAGACAAACTGGCAGTATCATGATTCCACGCTCAAAAAATTATTTTTTGATGGCAAAAGCTGGTGCAGGTGATAATTGACCTCCTCATTTAAAAGTTAAGGTTTTACCGCCTAACATCTAATGTAGAGACAAGAACTGCTGCAAGGTTACGTACTGAGTGCTCTGTGCAGAAGCACATCTCTAAGGAGCCAACAGTTTAGGCTGGATACACTACAGCTGGGTGGAATTTGAAGAAAATTAAGTATCCTTTTGTTGTCAAACCTTGAACTTCGTCCAGCGAAAGTAATTGCTACACCCACACCATCACCGTTCAAAAGACGACTTGAAGACAAACTGGCAGTATCATGATTCCACGCTCAAAAAATTATTTTTTGATGGCAAAAGCTGGTGCAGGTGATAACTGACCTCCTCATTTAAAAGTTAAGGTTTTACCGCCTAACATCTAATGTAGAGACAAGAACTGCTGCAAGGTTACGTACTGAGTGCTCTGTGCAGAAGCACATCTCTAAGGAGCCAACAGTTTAGGCTGGATACACTACAGCTGGGTGGAATTTGAAGAAAATTAAGTATCCTTTTGTTGTCAAACCTTGAACTTCGTCCAGCGAAAGTAATTGCTACACCCACACCATCACCGTTCAAAAGACGACTTGAAGACAAACTGGCAGTATCATGATTTCACGCTCAAAAAATTATTTTTTGATGGCAAAAGCTGGTGCAGGTGATAACTGACCTCCTCATTTAAAAGTTAAGGTTTTACCGCCTAACATCTAATGTAGAGACAAGAACTGCTGCAAGGTTACGTACTGAGTGCTCTGTGCAGAAGCACATCTCTAAGGAGCCAACAGTTTAGGCTGGATACACTACAGCTGGGTGGAATTTGAAGAAAATTAAGTATCCTTTTGTTGTCAAACCTTGAACTTCGTCCAGCGAAAGTAATTGCTACACCCACACCATCACCGTTCAAAAGACGACTTGAAGACAAACTGGCAGTATCATGATTCCACGCTCAAAAAATTATTTTTTGATGGCAAAAGCTGGTGCAGGTGATAATTGACCTCCTCATTTAAAAGTTAAGGTTTTACCGCCTAACATCTAATGTAGAGACAAGAACTGCTGCAAGGTTACGTACTGAGTGCTCTGTGCAGAAGCACATCTCTAAGGAGCCAACAGTTTAGGCTGGATACACTACAGCTGGGTGGAATTTGAAGAAAATTAAGTATCCTTTTGTTGTCAAACCTTGAACTTCGTCCAGCGAAAGTAATTGCTACACCCACACCATCACCGTTCAAAAGACGACTTGAAGACAAACTGGCAGTATCATGATTCCACGCTCAAAAAATTATTTTTTGATGGCAAAAGCTGGTGCAGGTGATAACTGACCTCCTCATTTAAAAGTTAAGGTTTTACCGCCTAACATCTAATGTAGAGACAAGAACTGCTGCAAGGTTACGTACTGAGTGCTCTGTGCAGAAGCACATCTCTAAGGAGCCAACAGTTTAGGCTGGATACACTACAGCTGGGTGGAATTTGAAGAAAATTAAGTATCCTTTTGTTGTCAAACCTTGAACTTCGTCCAGCGAAAGTAATTGCTACACCCACACCATCACCGTTCAAAAGACGACTTGAAGACAAACTGGCAGTATCATGATTCCACGCTCAAAAAATTATTTTTTGATGGCAAAAGCTGGTGCAGGTGATAACTGACCTCCTCATTTAAAAGTTAAGGTTTTACCGCCTAACATCTAATGTAGAGACAAGAACTGCTGCAAGGTTACGTACTGAGTGCTCTGTGCAGAAGCACATCTCTAAGGAGCCAACAGTTTAGGCTGGATACACTACAGCTGGGTGGAATTTGAAGAAAATTAAGTATCCTTTTGTTGTCAAACCTTGAACTTCGTCCAGCGAAAGTAATTGCTACACCCACACCATCACCGTTCAAAAGACGACTTGAAGACAAACTGGCAGTATCATGATTCCACGCTCAAAAAATTATTTTTTGATGGCAAAAGCTGGTGCAGGTGATAACTGACCTCCTCATTTAAAAGTTAAGGTTTTACCGCCTAACATCTAATGTAGAGACAAGAACTGCTGCAAGGTTACGTACTGAGTGCTCTGTGCAGAAGCACATCTCTAAGGAGCCAACAGTTTAGGCTGGATACACTACA